GGCCTTCGATTGCAGCGTCTACTCGACCTGGTGAACAGGTGCCTATAGTCGATGCGGCGGTGCTGGAGGAGTGGCTGACTTCCCGCGTCTCTATGATCAACGAGAAGAAGGACCCCACTTGCGTGGGCAACTGCCGGCCGATCTGTCTTGCGATTGTTGCGCGCTGGATGTTCGCCAGAAATTTTGCATGTTGAAACGCAGGCGGTCGGGTGCCGGCCTGGACCGACGGTTATGGCACTCGCAGCGTGGATTCTGGGCCGAGCGCAGCACCGAAGATGCCATCTTCGTTGCGAGGGGGCTCGCGGAGTGGAGCTCGCGTGCGCGCAGAAGGACGGGCCTGCGTCGTTCTTGACTCTGGATTGGCGGGGGGCATTTGACAGCGCGCGCGTCGACCGTTTGCTCGGTGCCTTGCGCTGTTTCGGCCCCCCCGCTAAGTGCGCGAGCGTGTTCGCGAACGCCGTGGCCGGGGGGAAGTTCTCCGTCGAGGACTTCGAGGCCGAGTCCTCCTTCAGGCCGCAGAGGTCTGGCATGTCGCAGGGGTGCGCGCTCAGTCCGCAACTGTTCACGGCGGCCATGTCCGCCCGCGTGGAGGTCGCGCACGACGCGCTGTCGCCGTGCGCCCTCGCGGCGCGCAGGAGGGGCGACTTGGCAGATGTCGCGTTCGCAGACGACGCGCTCTGACTGGGCACCTCAACTGAATTCGTCAGCGAGTTTGCCGAGGCAGCGGCGCAAGCCGGGAAGAGCGAATGGCCTCGAGTTTCATGTGCGCAAGTTCCAGCTCTTGCTAATTAGCGCGCAGCGTCGGGTGCGGATTGTTGGGGGTCCGGCGCCGGCCGAGACGAAGATTGCGTGGCTCGGCGCGACGCGCTGCGGGGGTGGCCGCGTGGCGATTGAACTGAGATGACGCATCGGCTTGGCGGCGATTGATTTCCGCGCGATCCTGTAAGCGTGGAGACATTCGTCGCTTCCGCTATCGGGGCGACTTCGCGTGTTCAGCTCTCTCATCATGTCGAAGCTGATGTGCGGCTTTCTGGCCGGATGCTTCGCGACGGCGGAGCTTCGCGGGCGCGACGGCTTCCAGGCCAGATGTTTGTGAAGGGTTTTGCGCATGCCCCATTTGTTTCTTGTATATCAAACGTGTCTGTGCAGCAGAAGGCGGGGTGCGTGGCGGCCTCCTTGCAGCTCCGCAGGAAGCAATGCAAATTGCTAGGAAAAGCTGAGACATCCACAAGGCATGCCCGGCAGCTCGTTCAACCTGCAGGCAGCGGCGACGCGCGCCGGAAGTTGGAGTAGATTCGTTCGCCGCGCGGTGCCCTGAGCCTTTGTCTGTTCATTTCTCTTGGTTCCCTCCCCCCCCCCGCCCCCGTCGCCCGCGCCGCCCGCGAACCCTGCGGAACGATGGCGAGTTCCCGGAAAGAGATCTTTGGCCAGGCGACCGCTGCCAACGCGCAGGTGCCCGTGGCCTTCGTTTGCTCATCATTGCGCATGTTCTCAGTGCATTGCCCATTGGTTGCTCGCAGCCTACGGTTCCGAGTCCGAGTCTGCTCGCTTCCTGTGCTCGTGGAGGGACGCGCCCTCTAATTCGCCAGCGCGCAGCCCAGGGGAGTGCATGTCAGTTCCGTAGTCCTTCGTGGCCCTCGGGATGGCGGCGGTGTCCACGCTCCGAGTCTATGCGGATAGAAGACAGAAGTTGTCCCGCCTCCGTGCCTCTGCGTGGCATTGTTTTGCGAGTGATATTGGTGTAGTGTTGGGCGCGGTGTCGTGCGGACCGAGGCAGTGTCGGCTCAGTTTGTGAGCCTTTGGCGTGCATGAGGTGCCTTTGCGAAATCGGGCTTTCCTCGTGAGGCGCGATTGTGGTATGCGTTCGTTGTTAAAGGCGCCAAACGCCTACTAGCGTCGTGTATGATGCGTCTCTGTCGGTTGCGCCGCGAAGGCGAGCAATGGTTTGATGGGTCGAATGCATGGGCAGTGTGTAGTGCGATATGAACGGCTGCCGCGCCCTCGGATTCGTTCGTTCCCATCGAGGGCCTTTCGAATTGCGCGCGGGTGCCAGCTCCGTTGGGCGCGGGTATGTTTTGGCGGTTCAGCGTAAAAGATTTGGCGCGATCGCGAGTTTCCAACAATCGAATTTTCATGTTTTGGGAGCGACTGGGCGGCTGTGAATCCGTCATGCACAGGGCGCGCATGACAGTTCCCCGTCGGCCAGTTGTTTATTCCTTTCCGCTGCATGCGTGAGTGAGCTGGGGTCCTAATTCGGTGTCCTGAGGTTTTGACCCGTCCCCGCAGTGGCGCCTCCAGGACTCGTCCTTGAAGGCCGTCGCGGCGGAGGTCTTGACGTCGGTTTTTGCCGCCTTCGACTGGAACGACGAACTTTCCGTTTTCTTTTTCTTTCTCCCCTTCACCTTCTTGGACTTGGCCCCTTCGTCCCCGGCGTTGGTTGGGAGGGCGCCGCGACAGCACCCCATGTCAGACCATCTGGCGACGGGTATCCAATGGGGCGACAAGAAGGACGGGGGGGAGGACGAGGAGGAGGAGGAGGAGGACGAGGAGGAGGAGGTGGAGGAAGAGGAGGAGGAGGAGCAGGAGGAGGAGGAGGAAGAGCAGGGAGAGGAGCAGGAGGAGGAGGATGATGAAGAGGAGGAGGAGTAGGAGGAGGAAAAGGACGAGGAGGAGGAGGATGAAAAGGAGTACATGGCCCATTAGAAGACAGTCGTCTGATACTTTTCAGTCGTGCCAAATCACCGTTCTTTCGGTTTCAACGCCGTGGATCAACACAGTTGTTACGTCGTGACTTTGCAATCGTGCCAGAGCACACCGTTCCTGGTTTTTTTTTCCACCGCGAATCAGTGTGGCTGCTGCGTTCTTACAATCCGAAATCGCACCAAAACATCATTCGTGGACCGACGACCATGCAAATATGTGAAATTTTCAAGATCCGTGTGCGCGGCACCGAAACGAAAACCACATTTCGAAAAGGAGCCGCCCTCCATCCGTGAAGCCGCTGGAACATTTTAAGACGAACGCTTGCGGGCTAAGATTAGAGTCGCATATTGAAAACGGTTTGCCCTCCACCCGTGAGCTGTTGCAAATGTTTAAGACGAGTGTGCGCGGCGCTAAGGCGAAAGCAGCATTTCGAAACGGCCCGCCCTCCTTCCGAGAACCTCTTGCAAATGTCAAGCTTCAAGATTATAGATGGCGAGGTCGTCTCAGGCGAAACGCCTGTCCATCCCTGCAGACGCTTCTGGCGGTACGACGAGGAGGAAGTATGGATGGAGGAGGAAGAGGAGAACGAGGAGGAGGAGGAGGAGGAAGAGGAGGAGGAAGAGGAGGAAAAGCAAGAGGAAAACGAGCATGAGGAGGAGGAGGAGTAGGACGAGGAGGAGGAGGAGGAGGAGGACGAGGAGGAGGAGGAGGAGGAGGAGGAGGAGGAGGAGGAGGACTAGGAGGAGGAGGACGGAGGAGGACGGAGGAGGGGAGGAAAGAGAGAAGGGAGGAGGGAGAAGGAGGGAAAAGTATAGAAGGAAACTCATGATGCTGATGATGATGACGATGACGATGGTGATGCTGATGATGATGATGATGATGATGATGCTGCTGCTGATGATGATGATGTTGACGGCGATGACGATGACGATGACATTGCTTCTGATGATGATGATGATCATCATCATGATGACGATTATGATGCTGATGTTAATGATCATGACCCTGGTGATGTTGTTGATAGTGGTTTTGATGAAGTTGATGTTGATGATGATGATGATGCTGATGATAACAACAATAAGAAGGATGATGTTCATTCTGATGGTGATGACGATGATGATGATGATGATGATGATGATGATAGTGATGATGATGATGAAGATGATGATGATGATGATGTTGATGATGATGATGATGGCTGATGGCTGATGGTGGTGATGATGATGATGATGATGATGATGACGATGACGATGACGATTGTGTTGATGGTGATGACGATTGCGATGGTGACGGCGATGGTGATTGTGATTGTGGTTGTGATGATGGTGATGATGATAATAGAACGTGGGGGATGATGATGATGATGATGATGATGATGATGCTGATGCTGATGCTGATGCTGGTGGTGGTGCTGGTGGTGAGTGCTGCTGTTGGTGATAATGATGATGATGATGATGATGATGATGATGATGATGATGATGATGATGGAGACAACTAATAATAATACTTAGAAGAATATTATGATGGAGAAGATGATGCTGATAATAATAATAATGATAATGATGATGATGATGATGATGATGATTATGACGATGATGATGATGATGATGATGATGATGATGATGATGATGATGATGATGATGATGATGATGATGATGGCTGATGGCTGATGGTGATGCTGATGATAACGATTCTGATGATGACGATGATGATGATGATGATGATGATGATGATGATGATGATGATGATGATGATGATGATGATGAGGAGGAGGAGGAGGAGGAGGAGGAGGAGGAGGAAGATGAGGAGGAGGAGGACGTAAAGGACGTGGATGAAAGGGATGAGGAGGAGGAGAAGGAGGAGGAGGATCAGGAAGAGGGGAACACTGGATGGACAGCTTGTATAGGGATCGACGTGGCCCTTGGTACCAAGACGTGGATTAGGGGACCAATGCGCCTGTATTCCGTCCAGCTGCCTCCTTCGTGCGGCCTCGCGACGAGCAGGTTCATGCGTAATGATTGGCTCTTCCCACTGAACTCAGTCCGCCATAGGGAGCCTATCAGGAGTGTTCCGCCAGAAAATGGTCGGGGAAGCGTAAGGCGCGAGTTTGCCGGACCTCGGGTTTACGTAGGTACTGTTGTGACGGTCCCGGCGTGAATTTTGACGGTCCGGTTTTCGTGAGATGTTTGCAGCGAGATTTTGCGTCAAATTTCAGGCTAGGGCCCGCCATTTTTCAGACGGCCCCGTCAGGCAAGTTCGAGCGCCCCCAGACTCGAGCCTTACGTCCTCCCTGGGAGGGGAACATCCACTCAAGTGAACCTTTCTTTTCCGCAGAGGGCATCTGTACATCACCACCGTGCTTGGCCAGGGCCATCCTGGGCCCCCCGACGATGCATACACGCCCTCCTGGCCTCGGCCGGGAGGGTCTGTGTACCATCCCATGTCCGAGGATGGCCCTGGCCAGGCACGGCCGTTGTGCACAGCTGCCTCCTGCGGACCTTCTACGCGCTGGTGCCCAGTGAGTATGCCTCCATCTTCCGCCTGGCACCGGCAACCCCGGGCCATGCAGGGCTGTGTTTTACTCGCCGGTTCCTCGACACCTCGTCGTGTACCTTCTGCATACATTGCATGACGCGCGCAGCGACGCAGTGCCATCGCTCGGCGTTTATATACGTGCCGACCCGTTGGGCGGAGCACTGAACGTGCGTGTGGAGGACGACCCAGGAGTTGAGCTCCACTCCACAGCGCCGTCTTTCCGCTGATGGGAGGTGGTGGAGGAAGACAGGGCGGATGGGGGGGTGTAGGACGATGGAGGAGGGAGGAGGTAGGCGTGGGAGGAGGAGGACCAGCAAGAGGAGGATGGGGAGGAGGAGGAGAAGGAGGAGGAGGAGGAGGGAGAAGGGAGAGGTGGTGTGGACAAGCTAGGTGCGCTCGCGCCGTGTCTGATATCCTACACCTCCCAGCCATCCTTTCCTATTCCGCAGATTTTTCTCTATGATGCGACATCGGAAAATGAGAGCTGCGTACATAGGAAAAGAACGAGGAGGGGAGGAAGAGGAGGAGGGGGAGAAGCAGGAGGAGGAGGCGGAGGAGGAGGAGGGGGAGGAGGAGGGGGAGGAGAAGGAGGAGGATGTGACGGATGGGTTGGAAGATGAGCAGGAGGAAAAGGAAAAAGTTCAGGAAGGAGGAGTACGAGGACGAACAGTAGCAGCTGGAACTGGAGTGGAAGGAGCGAGAGGAGCAGGAGGACCAGGAGGAGGCGGAGGAGGGAACGGGAGGATGGCGACAACGACGAGGAAGGACACGGATCCAGAAAAGTGGCCCGCGGTGGGGCGAGAGCGCCATTCCCGCGCTCCAAACATGAGCCCCACGTTGCAGTGGGAACACCATCTTGGAAGGACCGAGGTCGTTCGGATTGGAACACCACAAAAGACAAATCAACACGGTACCATCCTGTGAGGAAAAACCGGATGCGGAGTTAGTCACGCATGTCACCAGCCATCTTCGGAGGATAGGAGAGTAGTACTTGTATGGAGTAATTATTGAGAAATTGCGAAAGATGATGTAGGACAATTCGGAGGAGGAGAAGGAGGAAGAGAAGGACCAGGAGGGAGAGGAGGAGGATGAAGATAAGGATGAGGAGGAGCAGGAGGGGGGAGGAGGAGGAGGAGGAGGAGGAGGAGGAGGAGGAGGGAGGAGGAGGAGGAGGAGGAGGAGGAGGAGGAGGAGGAGGAGGAGGAGGAGGAGGAGGAGGAGGAGAGGAGGGAGAGGACGTGGAGGGAGGGGAGGAGGAGGAGGAGGAGGAGGAGACGTGGAGGAGGACGTGGAGGAGGAGGAGGAGAAGGAGGAGAGGACAGGGAGGAGGAGAGGACGAGGAGGAGGAGGAGCAGGAGCAGGAGCAGAAGGAGGAGAAGGAGGAGCAGGAGGAGAGAAAAGGGAGAGGAGAGGAGGAGGGAGGAGGGAGGAGAGGAGGAGGAGGAGGAGGAGGAGGAGGAGGAGGAGAGGAGGAGGAGGAGGAGGAGGGAGGAGGAGGAGGAGGAGGAAGGAGGAGGAGGAGGGAGGAGGAGGAGAGGAGGAGGAGGGAGGAGGAGGAGAGAGGAGGAGGAGGGGGAGAGAGGAGGAGGAGGAGGAGGAGAGGAGGAGGAGGAGGAGGAGGAGGAGGAGGAAGAGAGGAGAGGGGGGAGGAGGAGGAGGAGGGAGGAGGAGGAGGAGGAGGAGGAGAGGAGGAGGAGTGAGGAGGAGGAGAGGAGGAGGAGGAGGAGGAGGAGGCGGAGGCGGAGGCGGAGGCGAAGGCGGAGGCGGAGGCGGAGGTGGAGGCGGAGGGGCGGCGGCGGAGGAGGAGGATGAGGAGGAGGAGGAGGAGGATGAGGAGAGGAGGAGGAGAGGAGGAGGAGGAGGAGGAGGTAAGACGCTGTGTAGCGAGAAACGTCAGAAACGTCAGGAGGAGGAGGAGGAGGAGGAGGAGGGATGCGGAGGAGGAGGAGGAGGAGGAGGAGGAGGAGGAGGAGGAGGAGGAGGAGGAGGGGGCTGGGCGCGCAAGCCCGGCATCACGAAGCGGAGACGTGGTTACGTTACAAAGTTCCCGCCCCGCGCTGCCATGGCTCGCGCGCCGGGCCGCCTGTGCAGAGGTTTCCCACCTGAGGGCGGCCTTCCCGTAGGCCTTACACGTAAGCTCGAACGCCGTGTAGCCGAGGATTGGGAGCAACGCGCAACAACTTTCTCCCCCACGTATACCTACACCAAGATTGCACACCGACGCCAAGATCTACACCAAGACGTCGTGAACAAAATCACGACGGGAGGTTTTCTGGCCGTTCTCGGCCCAGGAAGCGAGGCTCGAGGCGCGGTGTTTTCGGCGTTTTCGCTGGTTCTCGGCAGGTTTCCAGACTCGGGATGCTCCCCAGCAGTGGCGCCTCCCTGGGAGCGTGCCAGGGGTGCCCGGATCGTCCCAACACGGCCGTCGGAGGCCGGAGAGCGTGCCCGCTCTAACCACCTCCGTTCGTTGCGGCATGAGCCCGGCGCGACCCCGATGAGGGGAAAGAGCGTCCTGTTCCGGTTCCAAAAATCAAGGTACGTTCTGGGGTTCCAGAGTTGGTCTTCCTGTGGAGAGTTCCTCGTGGCCGAGCTCCCATCACAAGGCCGATGGTTTTCTGCCGTTTCTTCGGCGTGGGGGCCCGGCCCCGCCAGGCCGCGGGAGCGTGAGAGCACTGCAGGGGGCACAGGCGGGTCCCGGGGGAAAGTCGAGGGAGGAAAAGGCACCCAGACCCCGGCAGTTGACGTCCACTGCACGGCCCCGGGCGTTCGCGAAACAGCCCTGCCCTGTTCGATTCCCTCCTGGGGTGCGTCTGCTGAGCGGCCTCGCGCGTCGGGGTGGCTGTTGTCGGGGTGGCTTTCCCGCCCTCCAGAACAGGTCCAGGCCTCTGGCTGTCCACGCCGTGAACACGTCACGAGGTCGGAGGTCTGGCCTCCCTTCCTCCCCTGCCGTCCTCCTCTCCCTCCCGTCCGATCCGTCGCGGCCGCGCGCTGGTGGTGCCCGCCCGGAGCTCGGCTCGCGCCCTCGAGGACGACCGACGCGGACTCTTTCCTCCCTGCGCGGACTCGCCGCTTTGGCCCCAGTCTCGAGCCTGTTCCTCCTCCTCCTCCTCCTCCTCCTCCCTCTCCTCCTCCTCCTCCCTTTCTTTTTCCCAACCATCCTGTGGTGTTGGGTCCTCGTTTTGAAGAGACGTCGCCCCGCGTTCCTTCCTTCCCGCTGCCCCCTCCCTCCTCCCATCTTCATCATCATCGTCATCATCCCCATCATCGTCATCGTCATCATCATCTGTCGTCATCATCATTATCACCACCCATGTCGGCACACCCCTCACACGTTTCGTGACCCCATAGGGAGCTCCACCGAAGGTCCCAGTGCGTGTGCCCGCATGCGTCCCGCACACTCATTTCGGCACACCCCTCACACGTTTCGTGGCCCCATAGGGAGCTCCACCGAAGGTCCCAGTGGGTGTGCCCGCATGCGTCCCGCACACCCATTTCGGCACACCCCTCGCACGTTTCGTGGCCCCATAGGGAGCTCCACCGAAGGACCCAGTGGGTGTGCCCGCATGCGTCCCGCACACCCATTTCGGCACACCCCTCACACGTTTCGTGGCCCCATAGGGAGCTCCACCGAAGGCCCCATGGCTGCCGTCCGCATGCGTCCCGCACACCCAGTTCGGCACACCCCTCACACGTTTCGTGGCCCCACAGGGAGCTCCACCGAAGGCCCCAGTGCTGCCGTCCGCATGCGTCCCGCACACCCATTTCGGCACACCCCTCACACTATTCGTGGCCCCATAGGAAACTCCACCGAAGGTCCCAGTGGGTGTGCCCCGCATGCTCCCGCACGGAACCCATTTACGGCACACCCCTCACACGTTTCGTGGCCCCAATATAGGAGCTCCACCGAAGGTCCCATGGTGTGCCCTGCTGCGTCCCCCGCACGCACCATCATTTTCGGCCCACCTCCCACCGTATTCGTTGCCCCATAGGGACTCCAACCGAAGTCCCCGTGGGTGTGCCCGCATGCGTCCCCCGCACACCATTTTCGCACACCCCATCACCCATACCTTTTTTCGTGGCCCATAGGGAGCTCCACCGAAGTGCCCAGTGGGTGTGGCCAATGTGGCCCGATGCGTCCCGCACAACCCATTTTTCGGCACAATTCCCTCACACGTTTTCGTGGACCCACCCCAAACAACATATAAGGGAGCTCCACCGAAGTTCTCAGTGGGTGTGCCCGCATGCGCCCCGCACTCCCATTTCGGCGCACCCCTCACACGTTTCGTGGCCCCATAGGGAGCTCCACCGAAGGTCTCAGTGGGTGTGCCCGCATGCGTCCCGCACACCCATTCCGGCACATCCCTCTCACGTTTCGTGGCCCCATAGGGAGCTCCACCGAAGGTCCCCGTGGCGCAGTCCACATGCGTCTCCTTTGCCCAGTACAGCGTTACGTGGCCCCATATGGAGCCCCACCGCAGGTCCCAGCCAGCCAGCAAGCTCTCTTTGCTCCGCGCAGCGGGCGACCCGCGCGCGTCGCTGGGACTCCTCCGGGGCGACCTGCGCGCGTCGCGGGGGCTCCGTGCTGCGTTCCGCCCAGCGCCTCGCTCGCCCGTCGTCGCTCTGCCCAGCGGCAAGAGCCTTGCCCGCTATCAGCCAGCCAGCTAGCTCTCTTCGCTCCACGCAGTGGACGACCCGCGCGCGTCGCTGGGACCCCTCCGGGGTGACCTGCGCGCGTCGCGGGGGCTCCGCGCTGCGCTGCTCCCGCAGCCTTGGACTTTTGAGTGCGCGGG